TGCACGTGTTGCACTTGAATGGCTTCTCTCCTGTATGAATTCTTTCGTGATCTGCCAAGGTGCGTTTCAGAGTAAACACCTTGCTGCACGTGTTGCACTTGAACGGCTTCTCTCCGGTGTGAATTCTAACGTTAGCTGTCAAGCAATCCTTACGCGCAAATGTTTTCTCGCAAACACCGCAACTGAAGGGCCTCTCGTTAGTGTGTGTCCTCTCGTGGATGGCGACAGCCGTTGCGGAATTGCTTGAGTGAGGACAGAAGCGGCACGGGTGCTTGTCCAGTTGCCGGTGCATTTGCGGCTTCTGTGGGCCCGACCAGTTGGTGGGGGGAAAGGTGTCGCCCCTGCAGCTGTCACAGTCAAAGGTATCCACTTTGTCGCCATAGTATGCCTCGATCCAGTCTGTTGGGATGACACGACAAAGCAAGAAAGGTCGGAGCTGTTTTTATCGCTTTGAACATGAATTTTGAGTACCTAGATGAACATAGTAATGAATGCCTACGTCATGCCAGTGCTGTCTAAATAAGGTATTTTTTCATTTCAGATGTTAAAAAGGTTCATTCGTAATGCTTGTAAAGGTCTACAGGCGATCATTAAAGACTAATCTGGCAGCTCCATGGTGCAAAAGCTGTGGTGGCTTGTGCGTTCTGCTAACCAAGTACGGAAGGGAACTCAAGCTGGGGGGGGGGGGGGCCGCGGCTTGAGTTCCCTTCTGTACTTGGCGGTAACGTGTTAAAAGTAACGTCGTTACTGTTAACACCTTTCTTTTTTCAGTAACCTTGTAATGTAATCGTTACTTTTCCAAAACACTAACAGGTAACATACTTACGTTACTTATTTCAAGTAACGGATAACGTAGTGACGTTACCCGATACATATTCTTCCGAAAACCTGAAAAAAGCACTTACCGTAATATCCCGAGTTATCGCCCACCCCCCTACCGCCTGAAATTCATTAAAAAAGTGGGGTGGGCCATGTCTCGGTGGGTGAGCACAAACACTTTAAAAAAAGCGGAAAAAACCGCCTATTTTTCTCTGCGTATCTAGCGCTGATGCACAAGAGGTACATCAAACTCAAAACTCGATTTAGTTTCGTTGTTTTATAGAAAAAAATGCTCACGAAAGAATATTTTACTATAGCGAAGTCCGTTGCTTGCATACGCGCTAGAAACACCGCCGATCTGCATATAGCGCGAAGGTTTGTTCCGTGAAAGAATGTCACCACTATGTTCTCCTAGTTAGTAAAAAAAAAAAAGAAAGAGAAGTCTACAAGAAAATAGAAAAACCAACCAGGCGCAAGAAGCGAGCGAGCGGACCAAAGAAGCGACCAAGAGCAATGCTGGGAAAGCGGGAAAGCCGGCGGTCACGTTGGCAAATACTTTGGCGTCGGGCCAAGTCGGGCGCCTTGTCAATTGCAAGCTCTTGCGCAACTTTCTAGTTTGGTGCGTACATACGTGCGTCCGTGCACGGCGAGCTATGAATGCACGGTTGGGACGCTCTGCAAACGTCTGTGTAGGGCGTTCCAGCAAAGCTTTATTTACGCGTTGGCTTTGCCTAAAATATTGCACAACCGCGGTCGCGACGGGCGGGAAGGAGCGGGTTCGCGGTGACCTTCGGCGGAGACAGACTTTGACCTAACACTCCGCGGTTACATGAACAAACTCTTATTTTGTTATCTCCATCGCTTTCTTTTCGCACGGATACACGACCACTTTGGGGTCGCTCACGGAGGAAATGCGTAAACAAAATAAGTGTCTTTCCCTCCTTCGTTTTACTTTGTCACGGACGTCCTCCAACTGTAAGGTCCGCGGCCGCGTCATTCGGGTAGGATGAGTGTTCGCGGATCGCAGAGTCCGCGCTGGGGTATTTGAAGGGGTGGGCGATGACTCGGTGTTTTTTCGGAAATCGATATTGGCCCAAAAATTGGTGTGGGCGATGGCTCGGGGATGGGCGATGACTCGGGATATTACGGTATATTTTTTGCGCCTTTCTATATTTGGTTTTACCTTAGAAGGGTACTACAACGAAATTTCAGCGCTTATTTTATGGTCTATATGTGTTCAAAGGAGCAGTATCACATCAAACACACCGATATCTTGTTAAAAAAATCACGAAAAGGAATTTTAAAACGAATTAAACGATTAGCAAAGAGCGCCTGGTGGCTGTCGCTAACGCCTCGTTTGTAATGCCCATCTAGGACCCTTGAGAGGTAGTGACGGTTATTGTCTCGCCTCCGGACACGACGAGAGAAGAGGGGAAGGAGGAACTCTCCTCTTCCCGAGAATTCCTTTTGTGTGTCCCAGAAGTCGCTATTGTCCCTCTACAAGATTATAAAAGATTAACCCATCACTCAAAATTCTTACAAAAGCAGCTGCTTCGGTGGCTGGGACGACTAGGCCATCCTCTCGACGTCAACCTCGCGGTAGCTTTGCTCATCCCGAGACGACCTACGTCACGATTGCGTCGGATGTCACGTGCTCTAAGCTGGGCCTTCTCCGAGCGCTTGCCAGAATGGGCCATTTATAACAAAACATAGAGCCACCAGGCTCAAAATACAAATGTTCGATTGTCATTTACGGATATTGTGAATCATATTCAACGTATTTTTGAACACGACGAATATATTTCAAATTTTGTTGAAGTATCCCTTTAAAGGGGCCCTGCAACGACCTCTTGACTGGTTTTTAATTTGCACTGAACATGAGCACACTGAACATAGTAACTTCCTTCATGACGTCCCTGGTCCTGGCTTGGGTGGCCGTGAACTAGAGGAGGGGTAGTGAGCTGAACGAGCTCTCACGGCCGCCGCACTCCGTGCCTACGGCTCAATAGGGCGCCACTAAAGCATGTGCTGGATCGGCTGGATGAAGCAGGCGGCGGCATGACACTTCATTGGCCACAAGCGATCGCAAACACAAGGTAAAGGACAGTTCTGTAGCGCCGCCACGTACATGCAGGACCTTTCTACGCTTGCCGCTTCACAGCAGTGCGCCGCACGCGTCGACACCCGATTCCACTGCACCTTCCCAGTATGCGCCGCCTTTTCCACCGTATGGTGGCGGTTATGTCGACAGGTCATTTCTTGTTTCCATACTTTATAAACTGCCTTTGTTTCTCTTCTGATCTAAGATACTGAACAAAAACTACTTTCATAAATAATCGAAACAGTTTGCGCCACTTATATTTTGTATTTCAACAAAAAAAATAATAATAAAGCTTTTAGCGGCTTTCATTAGTCGTAAGGCAGAAGCTGGCCAGGACCTGAAACGTCACGATGTCGTCACATGTTGAGCGTGTTCAGCACCATGGGGCACCCCTGTAGGTGGAGGAGACTTCCACGACGTCCAGTTAAAATAGAACGCACTCATCTTTAGTTACACTTTCCGCGCCCGCTGGGTTGCCCGAACCACAAGAGACGTGAAAACCGCAAAAAAGGCTTAATGAGGAATGCAGGGCCCCTTTAAGTCCATACGCAGCTGACGCTACAAGCTGACGGGACCAATGAGAAAGAGTGAAAAGGGCGCCATCATGGCGCTCGCCGTGTCTCTGGACGTGTTCTATTATCGCTCAACCAATCATAAACAAACAAGACCCAGCGACTTGCGATTTTGCCACTGCTTTACTGGTCCCATTAGCTGCATCTGGAGTTAAGCTGGAACGTAGAATATGATCCAAATCATTAATTATTGTACTCATTCTACATATTTTCAAAATTTTGCTGTCCGTTCCCCAAGCAAAAAGTTCCACTTTAGAAAAACCTCAACACCCGCTCCCGTTATCCCACTGTCAAAAAATGCTCTCACAAAAACAAAAAAAAACAAAAAAAACGTTATTGTCAATTTATAAATAAAAAGTAATGCAAAAGCAATGTGCATTACTTTCTGTGAATAACGGTAACAATAACGCGTTCCTCTATTTTGCAAGTAACAAGTAACGTGTTCCATTACTTTTTTACGGTAACACCTAGAACACTAGAGAGTTGTAAAACATTGTTTTTCTCCTCCCCTACGGTATCCGTAAAGAAAACGCCGCCACTGCGCATGCGCGCCGGCAACATTGTTTACACAGTTCAAGGTCATGCGGCAGATTACGGAGCGCTATGCGGGTGCTTAGCGGGCTGCAGAAACGGCCTACTAAAACTCCCTACTGCATCTGCATAACGCTGGCAGTACGGAGCTCTTGGTGGTAGCGTGTTGACATTCTTAATGTTTACGACTGTATATTAAGTTACACTGGAAGAGTCTTCCTCACAACCACACACTCTAAGAAAAGCCCGTGCATCTACTTTCTCGCACAACACTCGGAGAGCCAATCACCGCAACTTACGGAGGCAGCTTAGCAAATGACGGTGCCGAAACATATGTTTAGACCAAAATACGCAGTCTGAGTTGTGACATTGACCAATGCAAGCGTGACGTTTTGCAATGCTTGATGTCACAACTGTGACAGCATATTTTGGTCTAAACCTGTGTTTCGGCATTGTCATTCGCTGAGTTGCCCCGGTAAGTTGTGGTGATTGGCTCTCCAAGTGGCTGTGCAGGAAAGTAGTCACACTGGCTTCTTTTAGGGTGCAGATTACCGTATTTGCACGAATATAACGCGAGTTTTTTTTCTCGAAATTACGTGCTCCAAAACACACCTCGCGTTACATTCAGAGTCGAGGCACGCGAGTCTAGAGAAAGCCATTCTTCCGGCTCAATGCAAAAGATCCGGTGAGAAAAGAAGGGGGGGGGGGGGGTGTGGAAGGGAATTTATTAGCTATTGGGCTACGTGAAGGGGCGAATAGAAAACATAAAAAAAGCATTTTTATCGCTTTGTGTTTGTACAACGCACGCACGCCGCAGAAACTCAGCGCACGCCCGCCATGCGGGCACTGGCCAATTCGAGCCAAGCCAAGCCAAGTCAAGTCAACACAAGCCATGCCAAGACCACCGACCGCGTTTACGCAATCGTGCAACACGAGGCATTTGTTTATGCACAGGCACCAGAACAAGAAGTGTGATGGTGTATCGGTTCAGCAGTCTTTTTCCTGCCTGCGCATTGTTTAGTTTCTGCTCCAGAGTGGTCTAGTCCTCTAGTGTTTGTGTGTTGGTGCTTCTGCTTTCTGCCTTTTTGGACTGTGGGCTGCTGAGGAGCTCGCACGAAGAAAAAGTAACTACCAGACAAGCTGCGTAGTGGCCAAGCAAATTGTAAACGGAAGGACCTGAGCAGTGAGGATGAGTGCAGTCAAAACATAAACTGATATTTCTTTTATTTCCATTGACTTTTCACTTCCGCTATGCCCCCGAGTGCGAGAAATTGACGCTGCTTCGGTTTGCGTTATAATAGTAATAATATATTTATTTTTTTTGTTTGGGAAGCATCAAAACCTGCCCTCAAGTTATATTCGTGGTCACGTTATATTCGTGCAAATACGGTACTAGATTAAACAATATAGCATTCAAAAGGCTAGTAAAATAATCTGAAACAGCGAAAAACAATGTTTTAAATCGACATTGATATTTGCCAGTCTAAAGCTAAACTTCGGCGACACAAATATTGTTGTGAGAAAAGCTTCAGTCATTTGGAACAGCCAAACATTTTTTGGGCTATTTCACGTGTCAAAAAGAATTCATAGTATTTGTGAGAGCCACTCCGTCAACCGAAACTAAAGGAAAAAAGACAATTTTGTAATATAAATAACCAAGTCAGCACGGTACATTTCTTTGATATCAAATAATATGTAACTATTGAGACTGAGAACTCCAAGTGAATGTTCCTTCAGTAGAGCCCAGTTTGTTTACTTTCACTTCAGTCGCAGTTCTCGTACTTTGGAATATAACCCCTTCATCCCCCCCCCCCCTTCAACCTTTCCTAAGAAAAAGAACTTTGAATTTTGTTGTAGTACAACTTTTCTGTCTGGTGCGGGCTGCTAATTAAAACTTAATGAACTGTCCACGTGAGGGAACCCTTGTGTACCACATCAGATTCCTCACATTTTCAACCTCCTGGGAAGCCTAGCCTAGAAAAAAGTTTCCTATCCGTGTGGGACCGCTCACGAATCCTTGAGAGTGTACCAAGAAAGTATGAAGCTGGATGAGTATTGTCCCGTGTGCGTCTTCTCATACCTGGTATTCTTAGTTCTGTGGGCACCATAAGATTGGGGGCAGAGGTCTCACCGCCGTCTGTCCTCCTTTCCTGGTCCATCTTCCATGGTTGCTTCTGCAATTCGGCTCCTAGGAAGGAGAGCTCCGCCCCCTTGTCCTCGCAGTCCGTTCTCTGCCATTCGTAGTCGAATGCTGCGTGGACAATTTTTGTTAGGCGTGGAGATTAAATTTTGCTTAGTTGCTCTTTTCATATATAGTACACCAACAGAGAAGCCCAACCAGAACAAACTCAAGGAACAAGGAAACAGCGACACATCGTGCAGATAATGTAGAGAAATTCAGGGGTTTACATTCGTATTGCGGTGTAATATTCAAAAGCTAAAATAATCACATCACAAAAAAAACAAGCATCCTAACTAGATATTAAATATCTTGAAAAAGTGAATTTCTCTTTTTATGTTTGAAAACCAAACACAAAAACAATCATTCTCTATTAAGCAGGTGCTTCGAAAGTTTTACTTCACCTTTAGACATGCGGTAAAGGACTACGTCCAGAGACCCACACGAATCGAGGAAGACACAACTGGGTACGATCAAAGAGCGTGGTTTAAGTACAACGCTCCTGCTTCGCAGTGCTGAAAAAAGGCAGGCATGCTTGAAAAGCAAAAACTATACGGTGTATCACTGCCATAGGTTTTGAGAATTACAGATCAACAAAATGGACATGCCGTGTCGGCCACCAAAAATAGGGAAGGTAATGGAAATGTTGCATGTAGTTGGCTGAGGTGTGGCCATTCCCTATTTGATCCGACTGGTCGATCCCATTCATCAGGGGAAAAATGTAGTCCAAAGGTCTGGCACTGCCATAGGTTGACCTGGCTGGTGGCTGGCCCTTTTTCCCAGGCAGCGAAGGGTTGTTCACACTTGCGTTAAGAGGATTTGCGGATAGTTCAGCCTGCAAAGTTTAGAACAATAAGTGTTAATAAACAGTCGCCAACACAAGGTTACTTTACCTGACCTCAAAAATATCATCGCATTCAATGAGCAAAACGAAAACTGAAGGATACCAGTGCTGGGAGTTGGTCTAGTTGGCTATTCATTACTTGATTAATCTGCGCACTAAATGATTGTGAATTACGACGTAGAGACGAGAAAAAGGCAACAAACGGGAAAACACGCATCTGCAGTGCAGTTTCAGTGCAGAAGGGAAATGTGTGCCGCTTCCGTCAGTGCTGCATCCATGTGGCTGATGCTATCATACATAAAATGATATGCAGTGTAGATCCATCAGTCAATCTCGCATTTTGCCAAAAATTCATAAGCGGGGCTCACTGAGGAAGAATTGGTTTTAGCTGAGATACTTGGTTCACGCTGACGAGTTTCCCCGAGATTCTAATGGGTAAAGAGCCCTCTTGATTATACAGAAGTTGACTACAAAACATTATAATTTAGTTATTCTTTTTCCTCCTCTTCTACTACAAGCCACACTTGAGGGAACAATTCTCTTTTCCTCTTTTTTGCTTTCTAACCCACCTTAAATTTTTTTTTTTTTTTTCCTAATTCCCCTTAAAATGTTAACCCCGAAGAAATCTTTTTTCTTTCTCGTGAAGCACGAGAGAAGGTGCACTAACGCAGTCATCCCCTTTTTCCTCGATGGCAAGTGCCTCTAGGATTTCACGTCCCAGTTTTGTTTTGTTTTTTGCCACGATGTTTACGTCGTAGAACAGTGCCGAACATTGACACGCACAACAATGGGTTGGCAAGTGTCCTCCTGCTGACAGGGTTTTCACTGATGCAGCGTGCTCCCTCGTCCGATCGTTAATGCATCGGCCGGTTTGTCCGATGTAACTTCGGCCGCATGTCAGCGGAATGTGGTATACCACCTCCTTTTCACACAGGGCGTATGGAGACTTGTGAACTGTGCCACACCTCTTCTCGTCGTTATTTCGCTCCTGGTTAACCCGGCGACACATGGAATATGCTTTGTTTGGGGCCGAACACACCACCTGAACGCCTTGCCGTCCAGCTACCTTCTTCAACTTGTGGGTCATCCCGTGAACATAGGGTGCTACCACCACCGCATGTCGAGTCTTTTTCTTTTCCTTTGTGCTTTTATCCGTGCACCCTAATCCGTGCTTGATGGTCCTGCACATCTGTTCGCAAATCGCTACCAGGAGCGGTTTTGGGTTAAGGGGAATTAGGAAAAAAAAAAAAATTTAAGGTGGGTTAGAAAGCAAAAAAGAGGAAAAGAGAATTGTTCCCTCAAGTGTAATTTAGTTAATTGATCACAAGTATAAATTGATCACCATTGATCACCAGTGTAAAGTATACCATCCCTTCTACAATTTTTTTTTTTTTTCTCTTCCGACTAAACACAAGCTTAGAGTGGCATTCCCCTCTCCTCCGTCCCCATTAAAGGGAAGCTGGAACAATTCTTCCAAAAAGTTAAATAGAGGTTGATTCTAGCGTAGTTCTATCCCGCAAATCTGAATTTTGCATTTGTTTTCCCCAAAGATATAACTAAACGCGAGGAAACACGAAAAACCTCCCACCAGTCGTTACATCATAGGAGTATCTTTCGGCCTGCAAGCTCGTGTCGATCGTGTGGCAGCGCGTGCAATTGCAATCTCACCACTACCCGGCACTGGCACCAGTCGTGATGTCTTTTACTGACCTTTTCGTAAAAATAACAAAAGTGTGCATGCATAGCTCCGATAGGCGCTGAAGATGCGCGAGAGCGGAGATTTTGAAAACCTTTTTTATGACGGTACACTCCGAGAAGGGGGGGCTTGAGCGGTACTTAAAAAAAATTTTCTGCTGCCTCTGTGCACGAAATTAAAAAATACTTTCGACATTGGGGTTCCTGGAGACCAAATTAAGACGATTTAAGTGTGTTTCCTCAACTACAAAAACGCTTCAGCTTCACTTTAAAGAAGTCTCATTTCCAAGACCGCCATCGCTGAACACTTTTCTAATCCTTCATTAGTTTGTTTGTGGTTTTGTTAACGCATTTTCAACACCTTTCCACCACCTCTGTAACGTCGTCCCGAACCCTGAGGGTATCGTTCAGGCTAAAACATGGCGCTTATTACAGATCTTGTTCAGGCTTTTTCCGCCAGCTCGGCCACAAGATAACGTCCTTTCTTTTCAAAACGAGTTTTAAAGGTCGGTGTTTTGTCCCTGGTGAGAGCGATCACATTCTCAGTCAGTGATTGGATGCGACATCCCAGCGTTTTGGTGTGCGAGAGTTATCGATTAATGATACATCTTTAGTTGATTCATGAGTCTTTTTGGTGAGAACTTCTAACTCACAAACGGTGAGAGGAGTCTTGGGGTAATTGATGCGTTTTTCCCAAGTGTGCTACATACATACGAGAATTTCAGCTATATACTGCAGCAGAGCTTGAGATTTGCATAGAGAGCACTCGCTGTCGATTGCACCGAAAGGGAAGTATAGCAGGCCATTATAGTTTTAGCTCACGTCCCGTATCACTTCATCGTGGCACTCGGCTTTTAGCAAACGGCTGCCTTTATTCCGGTCCGTTAACCAAAGACGTGAAAGTATTTTCTTGTTTTCTTTTTGTCTGCGAATGACGCTTTATAGCAGACAAACTCCGTTGTTCACTTACGTTAGCAGACTAATCATCTGCTGACATTTTCTTGACTCGCTCCGTAAAGTTCCAGTCACACTACTCATGCAAGAAGCAAAAGGCAGTGCACAAACACCGTCCGAGGCACGTTTCTTTCTCGTGCCCTCTCATATTAGGCCTACCAAACTAAATGCAGACGTGTTCGAAGCACACATATGTGTGCGCTTCTAACACGTCTGTAGATAGTTTTGGTAGGCCCAATATGAGAGTACTGTCATAAAGGAACCAATTTTGGCAGTTCAAACACTTGACTGCTTACGACCGGAGTTGCTCGTGAAGCATCTTGTGACTGCTGATAACACTGACAAAAATCTGTAGTTAAATTCTTCTGAACTTCTGTTAAGCGTTTTTTGGAATCGTATTGAAACTTGTTTAAAACTTTGTTGAGGTTTCCCAGAGTTTATTTTGACAACTCACTTACTTCCTGATTAAGACTGGTGAAAATAATCCCTGGAGAAGGAAAAAAGAGGGTCAAAGGACAAACACAAATCTCCAAGCACAACTAGGTGACTGGTGCGCGACCGAAAAAATTCGCCTGGTTCGGGTATCGAACCCGGGACCTCTCCATGTCCAGTGGAGCACTCTACGAAATGAGCTAACCAGGGGTTAGACATCAGTAGAGCAAATGGGTTTTATCAGCTGCCACCAGTCTAACACCAACAGGGGTAAAAGGCTTGCATTTTATGGCAGAATAACGTTAAAAAAGAAGAAGAGACTCGATAATTTCCTAAATATATATTTTGGATTTTGTTAGGAAACAACGTCCCTGTGACATTTGAACGCACTTTACATATACCACAAATCACATTAGAAACAAACACAAACACAAAACCAAGAAGCACTCAACACCAGATACACAGTCTCGTTAACTGCTCCAGAGCCTTATATAGCCTATATATTGAAGCTAATCATTTTGCCGGTGACCACCTCAGCACTTATTAAGGTTCCAAGTGTCCGATATCCTTTTCGGGAGTCTGTCAAGGGGAAAACGGTGTTATGAAGTTTGTGGTCTTTATCTCTTTCTAAAAGGTATTGGTACAACTAATAATAATTTGGCACAGTCGCAAAAACAACATCCTTAAAAATAGCTCGTAGAAGAAATGTTATTGCTTCCCTGCTTAGCACCACTCGGGACGAAGGGAATAAAGGCAGTTGCTCCACTTTAAAATAGTTATATTGGTTTTCTTTACCAGTTTACTACTTTAAAGGGGCACAGAAACGAAAATTGAAATATACAAATTTCGTTCGTAAATGAGTGAAACATGACGGATAGTAATTGTACATGATAATCGCACGTTTGTATTTTGAACGACTGGCTATAATTTTCGTCCCAAACGGAGAACGCGATGCATTATTAAATATCCGGCGCAAAATACATAAATATATATTCACAGCATTTGTGATGTAGAAAGGCTGGAGTGGTTATAAGCATTGCCGTTGGTGGCGTTGTGGTGGCGTCAACGCGTTACATCCGAGCCGTTCGAAGTACCCGTGGGGTGACAAACGTCGTGCGCGTCGTGTGAAAACCACCGTTGTGTTCGT